CACTCACACGCACGCTGCCTCCCGACAGGACAGGCCTGTTCAGACCCTGGGGGTTCCCTCCTCCCCAGCTCCCCCCCAGGGGGTCCTCCCTGACCTCCTTGGCAACAGAGCCTACACCCTCCTTCCTCCCTCACCTTCTTTATGGCTCCTAAGATGGCTCGGGGAATGTCTCCCTGGTGGCACGGGGCCACCTGTGTCCCCTCCGTGGCCCCAATATCTACAGGGCTGCCTGGATGCACACTCCCAGCAGGAAGGAGAGGGAGGAGGCCCTCGCTCCCAGCTCAAGGAGGGACGGAGGGAACGCGACAGTGATGGGACTGTGCTGCAGGATGGCGCCTGGCCCTGGGCACCAGTGTGTTCCAGCGCCTCACCTGAGCCTGGGCAGCAGGAAGTGGCAAAGCTCCAAGAGACCGCGGGACGACAGCGACAAGGACGGCCACATGCACGGGCAACTCAGCCCCCTGCCAAGTGCACGCTGCTTCCTCCTTGGGAGGGGGCTGCCTAGGAGCCTGAGATGGCCCCTTGTCCAGACCACCACCCAGTCAGGCACCCCTGGGGAACCGAGCCCTGGAGGAGCCCGAGAAAAGCCAAAAGGGAAGAAACGTGGGCCACCTTCAGAATGTCTCCAAGGGGACGGGGACCCACCCCCACCCCAACCCCTACCGGGACAGCCAGGGCTCTGACCTACCCCAGGTGCTGGGCTGAGCCTCAGGCCAGGGCAAGTGTGGTCCACAGACACAAGCAAAGAGCTCAGGGATCTCAAATTCCGTCCCCTCCCCACTCCCAGACTGCTGCCCATGAAGGCTGCGCTCACCCAGATGCCAGGGGCCAGAGGAGGGAACCGGCGGGTGGAGACCTGCTCTAACACGCCTGCCACCTGGAGCACAGGCGCCTTTCGGGTAGGGGAAAGCGAGGAGGGGCACGGCCCCCAGAGGCCATGTGCGCACACCCAGGGCTCAGCCTGCGGGGCGCGCTGGCTCAGTGGACAGAGCCGGGCTCACACACAGAAGCACAGAAGTGGATTCCCCCCCTGCCCAAACCAGCTGCAAAGCCCCGGGACGCTGTCCATCACCACGGGCCTGTCTCCCCCGTTGCGCACTGAGCAGTAGCACCTGCCCCACGCTACCCTTGGGAAGAACAGGCTGCCATTCACCCACCTGGCCACTCACCACGCACCCACAGGTGCCCCCGGACGACTGCGGAGTGGCCGCGGGCGCCCAGGCCTGCCCCCAGGGCACGGCACCTCCTCTGCTCTGTTCTCTCCTGGTGCTGCCCCAGCACCACCCCTGGTCTCAGGTCACAGGCAGCGCTGGTCAGGACAGAACCCCTCTCTATCCACCAACACGACAGTGGAGACCCGCCCACCACCATGCGCCCTCCTCCCCAACCCACGCTGCCAGCCGTGTCCTCACCTAGGGGCCGATAGCCTTGTCTGGAGGGCCCCCCGAAAGGGCCACGGCTCTCCAGGCCGCTGCTGCCAGCAATGGAGCCATAGGACATCTTCTCAGAGGAGACAGGGCCGCCACTGTCCTGAAGAGCTGGAGGAAACAGAACCGGGTGGGGAGGCAGGAGAGAGTGAGCACATGGATTCAGGATCCAGGGTGCACTCGGGCCGCCCACCCTGCCCACAGCCTTACTCTGCTTAGCGCCACCAGGCAGCCTGCGCCCAGAGCTCAGCTCAGCCAGGCCCCACTGTCCCTCCTTGCAGGGCTCCCTCTCAAAGACCACCATGGTCCCAAAGGAGCCCCACACCCATGACCCCAGGGGCCTGCAGGGCACAGGGCCCCTGCCAAAGCGCCGTCTCCAGCCGGGTCCTCCTGAGCTGCAGGGGGCAGCATGGGGCTGGAGCCAGGCTGCCTGGGGCTCCACCTGACTCGGCCACGTGCTACCTGTGCAGCTGGGGTCCAGCCACCGGCCCTCTCGGGCCTCGTTCCCTCACCTGTAAGTGGACAGTAATACAAGACTGCCTCCCAGGGCTGTCGGGAGTCGTAAACGGACGCACGGAGAGTGCCCAGAACGGGTGACGCGCGGTAGGCACCCCACACGCAGCTGGCTCCTGAGCGTGGGGCCAGGCGCCCCGGCCCGGCTGTCTCAGCACCCTTCCGCCCCTCTGCTCCTCCCACGGACCGCAGCCCCAGGATGGCCTCCCCAGAGGGCACCTCCCCAGCCTGAAAACCGCCACCTGTGACCTTCCAGCGTCCCATGGCCCAGGAAGGGACCATGCAGACACACCAGTTTTCTGAGTGTGCTGCGCCTACACTGCCCTTGGGACACCCGGCTCGTGACCTTCGGGCACAAAGAGGTGTGTGTGGTGTCTGTCTGATCCGCCACATCCCAATGACGTGGGCATGGTTCACGGAGAACCCTGTCGGAACAGGCTCTCCGCTCAGCGCTTTCCAGACACCACCCAACTCACCGGAACAAACCCCCCATGAGCAAGCAAGTTGTGGCCAGAGGGGGCCCTCAGAGGAGCAGCAGCAGCCCACGTCCCCGGGGTCGTCGGGCCTCCAGGGACCCGTCCGCAGGGAGCGGCACGTCCAGCCTTCCTCTGCCCCCACGGTGCCTGAGCCGGCCAGGACAGGGCAGCCGGCAGCCAGCTCGCCCAGCGGGACCCAGAGGTCTCAGTCCAGACACACTGTGCGGCCAGAGCGCGTGAGGAATCCTGGCCCCACACTGGTGGCTGGCAGGGGGTTGGCAGGGAGGACCTGAAAGGGATGTAAAGGCCCGGTGAGAACCCCGGTGGACGGGAAGGGTTTCCTCTCCGTGGGTCTCAGGCCACATGCTGGACGCCTGCCCCATCCCCATGGGAGCAGCCTCCACACTCTCCACTCCCGCGGGGAGATGGGGGACAGAAGCTTGGTGGGGGGGCATCGCTGGCCTAGCCGGAGCCCCCCCGAGCGCACTCACCAGCGCCCAGCGGCCTGGCCCGCATCTGGGGAGACGGCGCGAAGGAGGGGCCCAAGGCAGCGGCGGCCCCGGCCCCGGGGAAGCGGCGCCACCAGAGGAGGAGACACAAAACGCAGGAAGGTCAGCGGCTGGTGCCCCCAGACAGTGGGCGCGCGCCACCACGCTGCAGTGCCTCGCGTGGGTTCCCTCTCGTCCCAAGGACACCATGGGGGACGTCCCAATGCTCTCTCCCTGTGCAGACTGGACACCCCCACTCCCAAGGGCTCCAAAAGGGGCTTTTAGAGACCCCAGGGGCACAGCTGGAGCCCCAGACCACTGGGTCCCCAGAGGAAGCAGCTCAAGCCGGATCTGAGTCAGGAGCAGGGAGCAGGGGCCATAGTTTGAAGCGAGGGGCAGGGCAGCCCTGGGAAGACGGGAGGGACAGCGAGGGCACCTATAAGGCGTGGCGGAGGCTAGGGGCGCACTCAAGACCCCCCAGCCCACTGGCCCACAGCTTGCCTGCATGCAGGCGGGCAGCTGGCGGGGACAGAAGGGCCCAGCCAGCAGCACCTGGTGCTCTGAGGGGCAAATTCAGGCCGAGGGCTCCTGTCGCCGTGCCCTGAGTAGTCAGGGTCTGCGCAGACGGGAAGGCGGAAAGACCCCAGCCTGTCCTCAGCTCACCTGCAGTCCCACTGCTGGGGCCACAAAGAGTTGCCCCAGCCAGAGCCCGCTGGGCTGGGAACTCGAAATGCCAGTGTGTCCTTGGCCTGTTGCTCTGTGCCCACCTGGCCAGGCTCTGGGCCCCGAGGCCCTGGGGACCTGGAGCCCAGCAGGCCCATCCCCCGTGCCTGGGAACGCAGCTGTCCACCGGAACCCCCAGGCTCCCAAGGGCCTCTGGCCAGCCTGCACCCTCAGCACCCTCCCCACCACTCCCACCCATCCACCTGCAGTCTAAGCCCTGATGTCTCCACCAAGGTGTCCCAGCTGGCAAGGGCAGGCCGTGGACAGCGGGAGCCAGATGAGGAAGAGGGAGGGGGCAGCAGACAAGAGACTTCAGGGGCTGCTGGCTGCCGGTGGCAGGTGGAAGTGGCAGCCTGGCCAGGCGGGAGGGCTGCGGTGCCCAGAAAGAGCCCCGGCTGCCTCAAAACTGCTGGACAGAGGCCACCGGAGTGATGCCCGCTCCCAAGGAGGCCTCCTACTGAGCGGCTTCCGTGACCACCACTGCCAGCCTCCTCCGGCCTTGTGCCCCAGGGCTGGCACCAGGCTCTTCCCCGGACATCTGTCTCCCGCCCCCAGTGACTGGAGGGAACCATCCGTCCTCTTACTGCCCAGATCCTGTCCAGAAGGCACCAGAGGAAGTGGGGGTTCCAGGGAACGCCCCAGCAATGCAGCCCTGCTCCCAGGACAAAGGCCCCAGGCCCAGGAGGAGGGGGTGGCCCGCCAGTAGGACGCCACCAGACACCGGGCTGGAGGGAGCGCCTGGACGCAGTTCAGGCTGAGGTCCAATGACCCAGGCTCCAAGGCAAGAGCTGAGGCTGCAGCGCAGCCAGGTCTGCCCCAGAGGGGCTCCCAAGCAGGACATGACCTCTGCCTGAAGCTCTCCTCCCCCAGCCTGGGGCTCTCAGAGGCAGGGGACCCCCAAGACCAGGGCGGACCTCCAGCAGCAGACAAGAAATGGTGCTGTCTAAACTGGGGTGCCCCAGAATGGTCTCTGCCCCATTAAGCTGAAGGGACTCCCCCAAGGATGGAGAGCAAGTCCTTCCTAGGTAGGGTCTGCACAAGGCACTTCACACCCCTAGTCCTCAGTTTTCTCACCTGTAAAAGGGGGCAGCAAGCCCGCCCTGAGCAGATCAGAGTAAGGCACCCATCAGTGACCGTCTGCAGCTCGTTCTGTGAGCCTCTGCCCCTCAGTGGCGCGGGGACACGTGCAACGCTGGACAGCAGCGGCGCTGAGCAGCACTGCCCCGCAGAGTGAAGGCCCAGGGCTGGAGGCCAGAGGGACAGAGCCTCATGGGCCAGAGAAGAGGGAGCAGGGCCAGATCTCCGCCTCAGCCTCCTGAAGGCCTGAGCTGACCAGGACCCTGGGAGACTCAGGAGGAGGGCACGGAAAGAGGAGGCCGAGGGCGACAGCACACCTGCCACGTGCAGCCCCTGCGGCAGGACCTCTGGCCTCCCAGGGCCTTCGCTTCCCATGAAGGGCCTCAGCACTGGACGGGTGTTGACGGTGCTCAACACGCAAGGACACACCCCACACTGGGGGACCACACCAGGCCCCAGGCAGGGGAACTGACACACCCACTCGGGGACTCCCCTCCTCCAGAGCTCCGTGTTTCCCATCTGCACCCCTCCCTCAGTCACACCCAGACCTCGTCACTACCGACAGCCCTGGGACCTCATCCCGGCGGCCCGAGATCCGGCCACTCCCCCTCCCATCCCCAACCCCAGGTCACTGTCCTTCAGCCCACTCTATCCCCTTTCCTCTCCATGCCCCGTGCCAACCCCAGGACTCACCCCTGCCACCCCTCCCGTGCCCTTCCTCCCCTGCCCCCACACAACCACAACCCTAGTGAACCCAGCTCTCCAGGTAACATGGGGCCAGGCGGGTGTGGTGGCTGCAGCCCACCTGCCGCCACAGCCCAGCCCTCCCAGACACGCAGCGAGCCTTCCTCTGGCCACACTGCCAGGCCAGGAAAGAGGCGGAGGGCCAGGCTGCGGGGCTGAGATTCCAGGTCCGCTGGCCCTGACTCCAGGGATGCCGTCCTTCTGCTCGGGAACTCTCTGCCCTCCCCGTCCTCTCTCTGCCCCACTGGGCCAGAGCAAGCAGAGGGTCGGGGACAACAGGACTCTGGGGTCTGTGCCTAAACACCTGCCCCGGACCCCAACCAGAAAGGTGCCAGACACAGGGAGCGGCCAGCAGGCCTCGCACGGGCACTCCTCCACACCCGCTCTGTGTGCGGGATGCAGGGGTGACGGGGAGGCTCCCTGAAGGAGGCGGGGCGGAGCAGGAAGGGGATCTGCCAGGCAGGGCAGAGGGAAAGCCAGCCAAGTCCTCCTGCCGTGGCCGCCCTCCGCTCACCTGGCCCCACGCCCACCCGCCAGGAGACCTGCTGGGGGAGGCCCGCCTCGACTCTGCTCTGCACTCTGCTCCACCCTGGGCCCAGCCCCGTGGCTCCGGGGAGGCAGGAGGCCCTGGGCTGCGCTGCTTAGAGACCACAGCACTGCCCCAGGGCGGGCGAGGTGGGAGGCATCAGCGGTGCCCAGTCCCACCCACAATGCTCCAGGGGGATGCTGAGCAGCCCGGGCTGCTGCCCACCCGAGGGCCCGGCGGGCAGCACGAGTCAAACCCCAAGCTTGACCTGCACCTCCCTCCACTGACCACCACACATGGGTCCACCTACGTGGCTTCAGATGGGGCACTATGGAAGCCAAACCAGCTTGGAGACCCCGGATGAAGGCCAGGACATCACTGGAAACCAGGATGCTCGGCACACTGGCCCTGGGTCTGGTCGCACCTGGCGCCATGACCCGAGTGTCCTGTAGAGAAGATGTCTGGGACCTTTTAGGGGTCCTGGGGGCCTTGGAGGATGCCGGGTGTCTACCATGGGTCCAGGGGAGGGGGTGGAGGCATCTGCACCAGATATCCCCTGATCCAGCTCAAACCCCAATTAACTGAGCTCAGGGAGGGAACCTGACTCATCCAAAGTCACAGAGAAAGACGGGGTCACGGACAAGGCTGCTAACCCCCTCGGCCCGCCTCCCCCATCCTCACACCAAGACCACAGCTGCAGAGGAAGAGGGTCGTGGGCCCCCCGCCCCCACAGTGCCCGCCAGCACTCCCAGGCGGCCCACTCAACCGGAGCTGGCAGGCATCGTGGGAATCAGTTTCTAGCACGCACAGACGGTGCAGATGCATGTGGGTAGAAGGAAGCACACACAGGTCACTCACTCGCACAGCTGCGTGTGACTGTGACATCCATCTGCTTCCCAGGTTTGTCTAAGCCGGTAAGTCACCCTAGAGCCATGAGCCCGGCACACAGACCTGGGTCACGAAATACCGCTCTTCTCACAACAGAAGTAAGACTGCTTGGAGAGGTGGTTGATTCCAGGACTGCAGCTGAGAACGTAAAAGATAAGCCTAGAGCATTCTACATAAGTGTAAGGAAGTACTCAAAGGAAGGCGGGCCATCTCTAGAGGTCACAAGAACCAGCCTGAGAGGCTTCCACTGGCCCAATCAGGGACAATTCTGAGTATGAAAGTTGAGAACGGTAATAAAGGATCACAACTTTTACTTATTATAGCCTTACCATAAAGAAGTAAAATAAAAATCCACACTGTTATAAACAAATAAACCAGGGGAAGAGGGAGCAGCCCCTCCCTAGAGCAGACACCCGTACCGGGGCGGAGCGCTGGAGTCAGCCCAGCGCCGTGGTGACCGACTCGAGGACGTCCACAAGCGGCAGAGCTCGTGGCCAAAGTCCAGTGAGTGACACACAGTCTCAAAGTACCTTCCCCAGGAACCTTCCTAATTGGAAATGGAAACACAACAAGTTCACAGAGCAGAAACCTAGCAGCCGTCAGCTGAAGCAAAGAACCGGCGTCGCCCGCGAGCCTTGGAGCAAACGCCGCCTGCGTGCTGCGGGGACGCACCTCCCGGTCCACCTGCCAAGAACGACGGCGCGGAGGCACCGCCCGCAAGACAGCTCCACGGCAACCTTCACCATCGCGAAGTTGCAGGGAACAAAGACAGTCTGAGGAGCTAACCGTCCAGGTTGAAGGAGGCCAAAGAGACGTCATCCCCAAAACCAACCCACGACC